CCTCCCTCCACTTCTACAACTCCCTCTTCTTCTCCTTCTTCTTCTTCTTCTCCATCTTCTCTTCTTCTTCTTCTTCTCTCCATCTTTTTCTTCTTCTTCTTCTTTCCATCTTCTTCTTTCCATCTTCTTCTTCTTCTTCTTCTTCTTCTTCTTCTCTCCATCTTCTCCTTCTCTTCTTCTTCCCCATCTTCTCTCCATCCTCTTCTTCCTCATCTCCATCTTCTCTCCATCACCCACCTCCAATTTTTTTTTATTTTTTTTTTCCGAAAATTCATCGAGCAGCGGGCACTCACCTCCCTCCACTTCTACTACTCCCTCTTCTTCGTCCAAATCAACCATCCACCTTCGGTGCGACGACCATGGCGGGCAATCGAGTACCGTTCGTGCCTGAGACTGGTGCAGAAAGAGAAAGGACGCTCAGCCAGTCGCAACTTTGGAAATGGGCGGACAGAGGCCAGAAGGTGACGATCGACACATCACACAGCTCGTGGAGGTTGCGTTGCAGGCTCTGCAACAAAGAGTTCGTCGGCATGCTGTCCAAAGTCGTGAAACACCACACAGAACCGTCGGTCAATGCCCGCTGTCCACGTCGGAGTAACCACCCGAAAGTGGCATTGGTCCCCGCGTCACTGGCGAAATTGAACGACTACTACAAGGAACAGGGTCGTCCGCCGATTGTTGTGGATGCGCAGGATCTTGCTCCCGGTGATGTGGCTTGTGCATCGGGGGAGGCCGGTACGTCCTCGGCAGGGGCAGACGGAGGGCGGGACACGGGTTCAACGGCGGGAGAAGGCAGTGCTATGGGTTTCGATTCGACATCCGTTGCTGACAGGGGTGCTCCGGATTCCAGGGGGCCTGACATCCCGGAAGAGATCGTTGAGCACCTGCGGGGTCCTGTTCTGGATGCAGCTCGCCCACCACGACCTCCATTGGGTGCACAGCAGTCGTCCATGAAGAATTTCGTAGTGGATGAGCTGCAGAGGGAGTTCGACCAGGCGGTTGCTTCCTTCTTCTTTGAGAATGCCATCGCCTTCAACGCCGCGCGCTCGGACTCGTATAAGAACATGGAAAGGATCATGAACGTGGCTGCGAGATCGAGGAAGATGCTACGGATGCCAGGATACAATTACCTGAGGATGAAGGCCCTGCCCGCGGAATACAAAGACGTGGACAAGGATCTTGACAACATTCGTGAGCCATGGGATGTCACGGGCCTCACCTTGATGACGGACGACACAACAACGACCAGCAACAGGTCGGTCATTAACTGCATTGCAGCCGGTGATTCGGGGGCTGTTATGGTGTGTAGTGTGGACATGGAGGGGAAGGATAAGTCAGCTCCGACTTTGGCAAGGATGTGGGTGGAGGTGATACGAGAGCTGTGGGTGCACAGGGTGAACGCGATCTGCACGAACTCGGCACAGGTCAACATTTTCGCGAAGAAGATATTGGAAAAGCATGACGACCCTACGATCAGGAGCATTCCATGGGTGTCGTGCGCATGCCACGTGTGCAACCTTCTCATGTGTGACATTGCTTCGGTGCCATGGATCGGAGAGGTGATTCTGCAAGGCAGGGAGATCACAACCTTCATCAAGAGACATCAGTGGGCGTTGGCCATGTTCCGTAAGAGCAGGAGAGAGTACAGGACACAGTTGGACATCAAAGATGGGAGGCCGTTGGCGTTGATTCAGCCAGGAGAGACTAGATTCGGCACAAACTTCCTCATGCTGCAGCGACTTCGAGAGTGTGAGCCAGTGTTGCTGTCGACTGTTTCAAACCCGCGGTGGGATAACTCTCCATGGGACAGGGCAGCAGCGACAAGGGCGCAGACGTGCAAGGAGCTCATAAGAGACCCGGCTTGGTGGTCGACCGTCGACCGGGCATGCACCGTGCTTGAGCCAGTGTATGCCCTTATGAAGAACATGGACAAAGATGGGAGGATGGGTATGCAGGTGTGGTCTTTGGGGATCACGTTGGAGAAGAGAATGGCCGCGACACCGATGGACAGCGAGACAAGGGGCATCGTGATGAGGAAGGTCAAAGACCATGTGCGAATGATGGCCCTGCCTGTGCATGTGGCGGCATGGATGTTGCACCCGCTACACAGATCGCCTCGACTCTTCGACGACTTGGCATCCGAAGAGATTGCGAACACTTTGACTCACTTCACTTCGGTTCATGCGAAGACCTCGAAGGAGTACAAAGAGTGCTGGAACTCCCTGAAGAGTTTTCATCACATGGATCCAGAGTGGATTGGCCCGAACTCCGAGGAGGCTTTGACGGGCGGTCACGTGTCCATGGCGCAATGGTGGTTGATGTACGGGAAAAGGCACCCAACCCTAACGAAGATTGCCGTCAAAGTGTTGAGCGTGTGGACCACTGCCTCTCCATGTGAGAGGAATTGGTCCACGTTCGATCTCGTCCACCCCAAGAGGAGGAATCTCTTGAGCCCGGAGAACTTGGAGATGCTCGTCTTCATCCACTGGAACAAGAAGCTATTGCGCATGTCGAAGGCGAAGATGGGATTCGTGAACACTGAGCGGCTGGAGTGGGAGACACCCGAGGACGAGGCACCATTCAATGGCTTCATGCGAGAAGGGGAGTACGACCCCGCGGAGGTGCGTAGGAGGGCGGCCAACTGGTCGAAATCTCGTGGGCGCAGATCGAGAACCACGCAATTCGACGTGCGGGAGATTCAGGAGGAGAGGGAGGACGACGGGACATGGCTACTTGATGTTTCGTACCGCCCTCGCAGAATCGCGGACGATGAGCGTCGGAAGACTGTCGTCGCTGATCACGACGAGGAGGACGACGGCCACGACAACGACGGTGATGGGAGTTGCTCGACGTGCCTCTAACGGACAAGCGGTTCACTCGGCTGTCGGGCGGCGGGTCATGCTCCGCGACGGATGTCGCTATCACACCACAGTTCGTCCTTGCGCCCGGTGGGGCTTCAGGGGCCTCTTCTGTGTCATTGGCCGACGACACTAGTCGCTGTGCACGGTTATGCACCTCCGCGTCCGGTGGTGTATCTTCGGTTCAGGGCACCAGCACACCCTCCGACGCGCAACACACCCCTCTTCCAGGAGTTGCAGTGGAGGAGACGGCCGCATGCCGGGGGATGACAGACGGGGGATCGGGGGATGCTCACGTTGATAGTGCTGCCGTGAGGGTCGTTCGAGACTTTGGTGTGTTTGTGGACGCTCCCGTTCCCGGTCATGCAGAACACGAGGGCAGACACATCAATGCGGGCAAGGATGACGAGCTTCATGACACAGCGGAGGACAGCCAGTCTGCCGGTGGAAATGCATTCTCCACTCCGGGCCCTGGGTTGCCGCTGGGGGAGGGATTCGCCTCCCTGTTGCACCACGTCGCACCAATTGTTGCAAGAGGCTCGAAGACGGACTTCGAGAAACATCTGGCTGCTATGTCCCCCATGAGGAGCGATTCGGGGGGGGCAGACTCCTGATTGGGCCAGATTCACAGGATCGACTCCTCCTGCTTTGCTGTTGAGTGAGGACATTCTCACAGACGCCGGGGACGGGTCGCGGGGCATGGTGGACAGGAGGACGTGGACGAGGATGGAGGACTCGACCGCCCGCAAGCTGCAGCCGCAGAACGTGAGGCAGTGTCACCCCCCGAAATTGACGCCAGTAAGGTGCGTCAAGTCCGGAGTTTGGCAGGCAGAAAGAAAGGAGGGAAGAACAAGCCGAAGGAGCCAGCTGGACCGGCCGGGCAAGGGGGACAAGGCAGGGCACGCAAGACAGTCACACCGCCGGCATCCTTGCAAGAAAAGCGTGCGGTTGTTCAGCAGGCGAAGAAGAGGAAGGCACAAAAAGTTTCAAAGAAAGTCGCTGCAGCCTCCCGGTCGCCGAGAAGAAATCCGAAGAGGAGGAGGATGTGAGTGCAAGAGGACGACGACTCCGAAAGCAACAACGCTTCGTCCTCGAGTGACGCGTCATCGTCGAGTGACGCGTCGTCATCGTCTGACACGTCGTCGTCGATTGCCACGAGCAGCAGCAGCGAATGAGAGAGAGAGAGAGAGAGAGAGAGAGAGAGAGAGAGAGAGAGAGAGAGAGAGAG